TTTCAGTTTATCTTGTAATTTTAATGAGTATGAGCAGTGTCTATGTGCTTTGGAATTTTGACTGCCGGTATGCATTTAGAGTAGTAGTCTTCAACCTTTCATACCCAAGAAAGAGCTATATCAATAAATTCATAAAAATCTGCAAGGCACAAGCAAGGTCAGTGCCAAAGCAGGATGCAGCAAAATGTAAGGATAACAAGATTTTAAATTTGGTGGTATTTGTTAGCAGAATCTAGAGCTGACAAAATTTTTACAATTTAAGGAGGCATCAGATAGCAGAATTTAAAGCCCGCAGAGGGCACCAGGTGGCGATATGTCTAGTGCCAGCCCTGGCGACATGTCTGTCAAATGACTAGCATAAGTAAAAAATTTATTGACAAGAAATGTTTACAAGACTGCAATTAATTTTAAGGCGAGATATAGGGTTATCAATTTTTATAAAATCCAATGTTTTGCGATTTTTCTTTAAAAAATAAAATCGATGGAAGTCGAATCCGTATATATTGTGTTTATTTATTAATTATGAAAGAGAATGACAATGACATTATATGTAGTACATAATGATGTTACAAAATCCATTGACAGTAAAAGATTCACATTACTGGCAGGATGGAAGTCACTTCAAGTCTTAAAGAGACATTTGGCATTGCTTTTGTTTTATTAAAACTTTGATATCTGGTAGAATCTGTGTTATTGCAATTTGTAAAGCATCCTCTAAATCTGTCAGACATGTTCTTGTGTTCTTCATTTGACTGAATAATTGTTCATATATGTAAAACTGCCAAAGATGGAAGACAAGAACTGTGTACATATTCTTAGATACTTGTGTTTGGATTAATACTTTGAAAATTACTGAGCATAGGATTTTCAAGAAACTCTCATTTTACTACAGAGTCAGATTACAAATCTACAAATTCTAATTGAATTTCTGGTGGAACACTTTCAGTATCTACTGAGAATGGCAAGGAGAAAGTTATCATGAAAATTTCATTCTCATGTAAGTTAAGAAATCTATTTTTGAATTCCACTCTCGGATTTGGAAAATACTGTGCATAATCCCACGAGTTACATGTTGTAGTTTTATTCATCAACCCCATTAATTTTGTAAATTAAATGGATTTCTTATTTAGCAGTTAATTTTGCTGTAGGATTAATTTTGTCTTAAAAGCTTTCATAGAGTCATAATGATTATGAACAAATAGATCTTTCCCCAGTAAGAATTGTTCAAATCATTGAGATGACCAGTAATATCAACAAGAAATGCAAAGTCTCTTAATCACTTCTCATCATGGAATTCACACATGGATTTCCCTTTATATTCCATGAATTGTTAAACTCATCCTTCAAAGAAAACAAGTGATGATGCATCTTTCCTCATTTCAATCAAAGTACTTCGGCATAATACATAGCATCACTGTTTTCAGTTTCAAAATCATTTAAGAACTATTTTGTGATTAAAGCCTTTGAACTGTATGAAATTAACCACTTTTACAACAACAGTCATCACCTGGCTAAAGTTTGAGAACTTCTTGCACAAATTTTAATGGTAGATGACACAGTGGAAAGTTATCATAGTACTATTTCTGCATGCCTTCACATCATATTTGCATAATGTTACTGTTTTCTGTCTGGTCATACAAGGAGCACCATCTGTGGTTATATATATATTTATGCAATATATATTGCTCAGATCTAACTCATATTTAGCCAAGGTTTTAGTCTGACTGTAATATAAATCTGATCCCCGTGCTGTACCCTTAAGTGTAATGACACTGGCTAATACCTCTAAAATCATGAAGTATCTGTCAATGCTATGAATAAAAAATGATCACTTGTGCTCAGTATGTATTGTATCTGTTAATTCATACATTGCTGAAAAATAAAACACAATGTCCTTGTATTTGGATTTTAAATTATTGAATATTATCTTCTGCCAGATCCTCATTACTGTCACACCAGATAAGCTAATGATAAAAAAAAAAAGCGTGAGCCTATGATGAACAAGGAACATCAGCTGCACACTAGAAACCTATTACAGACTCTGTATTGACGAAAGGTTTTCAACATTTAGCAATTTTGTCTGTTATCAAGTTGCTAACACAAACACTATTTTTTAGAATATTCATTTGCTCTGAAGAAAAAAGACTGATAATTAAATTTGATTTTAATTCACCGACTTTATCGCTTCAAAAGTGTTTTTCCAATGCAAAATATTTAGCATTTTATCATAGTGACCCTTGGAGTTATATTCTTTTATCACAGCTACACTTTCGTTGCAAATAAGGCAAACTGTCTTATTCTTGTTCTCAATGAATGAAAAAGTAAAGAGATGACCACTTATCTTGAAAAAACTGTACTTTTTCTTCAACATTTCTTTTTTAGTTATCACAGCTTTCCATCTTGCATTCATTTCAAGACCAAAAATACTTCTGAATTTTATAATCTGGAATTGAGTATGAGTAAGCTAGCTTAAATTAACTGTATAAACCCTGCTTATTGCCAACTAATCATATTTGCATCCACCTGTTCTTTTACCAACTGATTGGAACATTGGAAGAAATAGAATTCCAGTCATTCCTTTCCCTCTACACTTTTGAAAGGGGCATATAAAGGTCTGAAAAAGACCCCAGGCATGGTTTCTTTTGTGTTTACTTTAGTCAAGAAAGTTAACATAAGGGGTGCATAAATATATTGATTATCAACAAAGGCAAATTGGGTGAGAAACGTCTTGCAAACTTCTGTATGAGAAAAATTTGCCGAAATTTTTCTGTGAGAAAAATTTCGGCAAAAAGGAAGGAATTCAAGACTGTTGCATTGGCAGTTTCATTAACTTATTGAAGAGTCTCGGCAGGCCTGTCATGGCCTATGCATTGAAGAGACTCTTAATTTAAAGAAATTTGAGTATAATTTATAGTTATTTAAGTTGTAAATTGCAATCATGATTAAAATTTGATGTATTATATGTGATATTATATTTGATGTATTACTCATGTATGTATTATATGTGAGGGCTATTTATAAAGTAACTTGTGTTTTGCTACTGCGCAGTAAGTGATAGTATCCCCATCTTGGTATCGTAGTGTCTACTGAATCCTTACACACCTGATTGTAATCGTTGAAGGCATGTATTGCTTCTGCTTTGTACGCTGTGAATGTTTAAAATATGTGCAGCAATAGAAAATACTGCCAGTGGTGAATATAATCAGTTAATTAGATTTTTATTCGCAAAAAAAACTGAGACCAATTGAAATTTTTCAAGAACTTTGTACGGTGTATGGAAACGACGTAATGAGGGAAGCCAGAGTGAGATAATGTTGCATCATGTTTAAAAATGACCTTACAAATTTTCACGAGGAAACACGAAGTGGCCGGCAGAGCATTGTTAATGCTGAACTTATCGAGAGAGCTGATGAAAAGATTCATGAAATCCACCACTTCACAGATTTGGAGCTCTCGCTAGAGTTTCCTTAAATTTCATGAACTTAGTTGTTTGGTGTTGTGATGCAAGATCTAAGCTATTATAAATTTTGTGCCAGATAAGCACCAAAACTCTTGTCAGAAGACCATAAAAAGCAGCGGATGGCAGCAACTTTCACATTTCTTGAGGCATACCAAGAACAATAAATCTCTTCTTGGTTATATCTTAACAGGAGACGAGACCTGGTTAAAGTTCGTCACTTGCATGTGCCTGAATTCCAGCATAATGCTTCGACAATGACGAGGAACTGCATGCAGGCGTCCGTGCATGGTTGAAGTGTCAGGTGGCAACATTCTATGACGATGGAATTAAGAAGCTTGTGTACCATTATGATAAATGTCTTAATTTATATGGAGATTATGTAGAAACATAGCTGAATAATGTTCATTTCAAATGTAAGTAATAAAAAATGTTTATTTTCGTTTTTTTTTTTTTAAATTCTAAAATGTAAATTAACTCTCTGAATAGCCTACGTATATATGTTTGTTCTTTCTACTTGACTTTAAATTATATATATATGTGTGTAATGAAATTGTGGTTCGATGACACGACATGAAGGATTTGATTATGAATGCGCACAAACTTGCATTAAAATCTCCGGTGAAACAGGACTTTTCTCATGTTTCGCTGTGAACATAGAATAACAAACCCATTTAGATTTCTTCATAATTAGAACTGGAAGAACACTGAGATGAACAAAAAACAACTGAGATATAAGAACACGGAGACGTAGATACGTAGAAATACTAATTGCGTAGATACTTGATACTTAGAGCATCCATCCATTTTGAGAAGCAGTTGAGCCGGATTAAATTCCTTTTTTATTTAAATTCCCATTTTGTGGCCACAATTCACTTGGTGCTGTACTCGTGCCTGTTAAAGAGCATTTACAATTTTGATATTGTTGCTATAGGAGCAAAAGTAGCAGCACACACATGATTGCAGAAAGACATCTGGCCAAGAGGAAAGCACAAGCAAGTGTGGTGACGCATCAGCTCATAGAAAGAAGGGAGGGAGTCAAAAGTTTCAGTTTTTAGTTTCAGTTTACAATTTGGTGATTGGTCAACAGGCATCTGCATTAAAGGTTACGTAAGATCGTATGATTAATTTGAATGTTGCACTTTAGACGCGCTAATTTTTAGGATAGATAGATGAAGTTCCCCAAATGAAATAAAAAAAATATAAGAGGTTATAGTGAATTAAATTTAGAAGTTTGCTTTCATATTTTTTTATCTTGCATATATATATATTCTCCCCTGTGTAATACTACATCAGTAAATTTTGAATTAATATTTGTATTAAATTTCAATAATGTTGCATACGTTTCCCCTTTGTGTACTGCTGTATAAGATTTAATCATAAGCAAGGTAGGTAGTAACACTAAAATAAATTTTAATATTTATCAGCAATTTTATTTGAACTAATATTTTCAGTGAAAATAATTCTGCATTAATTTTTTAAATAATGTAACAAATTTTTACTTTCTTGCAATAAAGTGTATAATGATTTTTCTTTTTGTTAGCTGGATTTATGTCTGTAAATTATGAAGAGAAAGTGGAAATTGATTCACGATCTATCTATGTAGGAAATGTAAGTTAAAGTAATTTTTTTGTCCAGTGTTTGAACTTATTATTGATATTTTTGAACTTGTTTGTTTTAGTGAGTGTTCTTTTGCACATTAATCAGTTAAAGATGATTTAAAAAATAATTTTAAATTTGTAGGTGGATTATGGGGCTACAGCTGAAGAACTTGAGCAGCATTTTCATGGTTGTGGATCAATAAACCGAGTTACAATACAGTGTGATAAATATACTGGGCATCCCAAAGGGTAAATTTAACATCGAGGCTAGATTAGTTGTATTGAATATTAACTATTCTGCATTAATTTTGTTTATTTTAAATAAAATTATTTTCCAAATTCTGTGTTTTAATGTGCACTGGGATTTAGGAGTAATTAACAAAGCATACCTATGAAAATTCCCTTCTTCAGTATACCTAATGACTTGATTCCTTTGGGGAAGGTCACCATGGGCCAAAGTGGATAAGCCGTTGAATGTTTATAATTCAATTCTTTAAATCCTAATTCATAGGCTGGCTGTTTAGGTATTTTTGTGGTTTTTCTTATGTATTACTTGAATAAAAGTTAGTTTTATTTAAAATCCTTTATTAAGGTATCCCTCAACTTAGATGAAGACATGTACTTTGTTGTATTCAAATTATCTAACCTAAGCTAAAAAGGTGTATGAATATACAGTTTATAATGTTTAAAATAATTTTATAAATTTAAATTGCGTTTTCATGTCTCAACGCGACTTAGGATATATATTGGATTTATATATAGCATCATTCTAACATAGGTATTTTGACACAAAATCTGATTTTTTTCTGAAATGACATGCCAGTTTGTTCCCATATTTTGATTCTAAGTGTCAAATTATGCTTAATATTAAATTTTGTAAAATTTGGTGCGATATTTATGGAGAAATTCAAAAATTAATTTTGGCATATTTTTTTAAAGTTTTCACCAAGAATAATTGACTTGGCAAACTTCTTAATTTACAGGGTTCGTACAAACCTTAAGATTCCTTAAAAGTCCTCTGATTTTTTGGAATCTATTTTTGGTCCCAAAGTTCTTAATTTCGGCCAAAATTGGCAAAGGTCCTTAATTTTAATCATCTGAAATAGCTGTCTGTTTTTTATGACTGCCGTTTTGAGTGTGAATTAGCATTTTGGAGGAATATTTTTGGTGATTCAACTGCCACAGATATGGTTTGTCTTTTGAATAGGTGAATGTGTTACAGAGGCTGTTCACACATTTTTTAGACGATGAATGATGGGATACTCGAGTTTCTAAGCAAGAAGTGAAACATAAGCATTTCGAAATTCATTTTTTCTAATAAAGAGCTCTTAAACAACTTTTCGCTTTTGGGGATGTGAATTCTTTTATTAAATGGTTCTAAATTTGGTGACTTTTCAACCATTTGGCAGTTTTAAGATTAGTTTCTATAGAAACTTTTTAATTCCGAGATCTGAGAATTTTTCGACGATTTTTTTTAAAACATCATAACAATGATAAATTTCATTAAAGTAATGGTAATATATTGAAATTTAAAAAATAACATTAAAATAAAACATTTTTATTTTTCGCTACTCATATTATAAAGTTTCAATTTGGCAACGTATTATACAATATTTTGAATCTGAACAATAAAGGTATAATGCTATAAAGCACAATTTATGAAACAGCTCTTAGCAAAAGCAAAATTAGCTATGTAATTAATTAAAAATGTCTGGTTTTTAATTTTTTTCATACTAGGAGTTTTTCCCATGTAATTGTCTCAGAATATTCAAAATTCTCAATATGTGCATCAGTTTTCTATATAATTAATTTTATACTTTTTCACTCCTTTTATTTTTTCCAAAATATTTCTGACTTTTTGCTGTTACAGAAATGGTCGGGATAATTTTTCTTTTGTATTTTAGACATTGCAGCTTGGAAAGTTTGTTCTAATGAGCAGGTCTTTCTCTAGACAAGCAACAGTAGGGATAACATTCAGTCTTTTGTTATGAATCTTGATGATTATTTTCTTATTTCTCATTTTAACGTATGCCATTTGACATAAAATCTACCTGCTATTTACTAAACCTCTAGACTGACCAAGTATGTGATAAAATGAGACATACACATGCACAAAATCAACATAAAGCTAACTGTTAGTAAAATGTAAATGTCACTTATCTTCTTTAAAATATGACCAACTATTATAAGTGTAAAATATTTAATACTACTTGATAAATCACATAAAGTTTATTTTATTCTCAAACTTATTAGCAATTATGTTAATTACCGTATTTGATGGCATATAAGACACATTTTTTTTTTCCTAAATTTGGTCTCAAAAAAGTTACTTGCATCTTGTACGTGAAGGACACAGGTTAACTTTCAATACTGAATGCTATTTTTAGCCCAAATAAAGGTCTAGACACACATAACTTTTTCTAAATCTGCCATAATTATTTTGCGCATGCATGAAATATCTGTCGCCAAAGCTCGAAGCTGATGTCGAAGTTCGAACAGGTTCAACTGTCACATTACGTCTAAGGAGCCTTTCCTTCTTTACATAGACTTTCTTTGACTCAGCCACACATGTCGGTATTGGTGCTACTCCGCATAAACGTGTCGGTATCACTGCTTAAAACTATTTGTTTAAAAAAAAATACCCTGGAAAATATGACTACAGGAAACAAGAGATTAAGCTATACAATTCAGTATAAACTAAGAGTGTTAAACTACACCAAAGTGCATGAAACAGAGCAGCAGCAAGGCATTTCGGTCCACCACCTACCTAAAAAATGATACGTACTTGGCGTCTGCAGAAAGATCAGCTGAAGACTGCTAAAAAACAAAAACATAACCTTTGATGCCTAGCTCCATCTTGGCCTGAACTTGAAAATGCTGATGGAACAAATGGATAGGAGAGCCACATCACACCCTCAGGTAGAATGAAGCGGCCCTCTATTTCACAAGTGTGCGAGTGGATAAAAAGATCTTGGGAGGATGTAAAGGCTGAAGTAATTGTTAAGTCCTTTAAGAAGTGCGAAATCAGTAATGCTCTTGACGTAACAGAAGACGACTCATTATTCGAAGAAGGTGATACTAGCGATGACGGAAACAGTAGTGATGACGATATTCTCGTTTTCGATGATGATGAGAGTGAAAGGATTTTATGGTTTTGAAAGTGATTAAAGTCTAATTTCATAATAGGAACGTTTTCCTTGAATCTGTGTTTTTGTTTTCTGTTTATTTTGTATATGTTTGATTGCTTGCGTTCATTCATTTATCATTATTGAAATTTACATATTATGTTCAAAATAGCTTGCCCTTTGTTAGTGTTCCTTAATAAAAATATGTTTGGTAATTGCATTCAATGATTGTTTATTTGGCTTTTATGAAATGTGAGAATTAAAAGAAACCACATTTTAAGTTATTGTGGTACCACGCTGTAGCGCAGACTATTGAAACTTTTTTTTCCTTGTGTGTGGCCTTCTAAATAAGGGTGTGTCTTATATGCCAGTGCGTCTTGTATGCCATCAAATACGGTAATTCATGTTTAGTAATAATGCATACTACTTAGGGATCTATTTTATTTTTAGGATGGTATTACAAAAGTGAAATTCAGGCATAGATAATATTTTGAATTGAATTTATTCAGTTCCCATTTGCTCATAGGTCCTTAATTTTTTTCGTTAATGGTCCTTAAAAATCCTTAATTTCTCTGTTCAGAAATGTGTACGAACCCTGATTTATAGCAAACTATTTTTCTTTTCTTTGTTTCATTGCAGGCAAGCAGAAAAAAAGGTCATTGTTCATACTTTCAAATGATTTTAAGAAAGTCCGTAAAACACATTTGGTGTTATTATTGTTCGAAAACAAGATTCTAAATTTCAGAATGCTTCAATTTGTAAATTCATGTATATCTTTAAAAATTTTGAATTTAAAAAAGTCTATTTTTTGTAGACTTTAAGACTTCTTTACGACGATGTTAAAAATTTTATAGGCTATAATACAAAATTTTTGAAAAATTTATGAAAAATATTAAAAAATACAAATTTTAAAAATAAATCATAAAAAATGTGAGTTATATTTGGATTAAGCCTAAATTTCGAATTCTGGAAGAAGGAATCAAGCAAGTTTATTAAAAAAAACAGATTAATAATTATATATCAGATTCAATTAACAATGAACAGCTAAAGTTTTGAAACTAATTTTTTAAAAACTACTCGTGCGATTTTTACAAAACTTGGCAGTGCAGTTTGGCATAATTTGAGTCGAAGAATTGAAATATGGAAACAAATTAGCATGTCATTTCAGAAAAAGTCCAATTTTGTGTCAAAATACCTATGTTAGAATGATGCTATGTATAAATCTAATAATCCTAAGTCGCACTTTCGAGTAATTGAAAACACAAGTTGAATTTCATCAATTGTCCCAGTAGAACAGGAGATATAGAACTTTGTCCCTTTTTTCTTTTCTCCCCCCCCCCCCCGCGCAGTCTACCTTCACTGTATTTTTGCGATATTTCACTTCAACATATATTTATTTTGTAACTTAATTTAAAAAAAATTAATTGCTAAATTTGGGGGGGGGGGAATAAATAAAAAAATGTAAAAGTACAGATCACACCTCACAAATAATTTAAATGATAATTTATATTATTTATTATACAATATTTTTAAATTGTGTTTTAAATGATAATTTATATTAAGAAGAAATTGTCGTAAAGAGAAAACAAGTGCTACTGTAATCTTTGTATTCTTCTTGTCCATAATGTTTCACGCCTCATATCTGAAATCAACCCATAGCTCATCTTTTCACCTGATAGTCAGCTCTTACTCATTTTTGCCTTGCTTTATTTTTGGCATCATTAATATGCAATGGAATAAGTATCTGTACATTTCTAATTTAGAATTATTTTTTTTTTTTTAGTTTTGCTTATATAGAATTTGCAGATAAAGAATCAGTAATCACGTCTACAGCCTTTGATGAATCTGTGTTTCGAGGGAGATTAATTAAGGTTAGTGCATGATATAATTTAAAATTTGAATTATATGTGTTTGAACAATATAGTTACAGATTTTGTTTCCTTAAATATTGATTCGAGTTATATAGTTTAAATTGAAAAGCCTCTTAACTTCTTTGCTCCCAATGTAGAGTGAACAAATTCCTCTCATGTGTTCATGACATTGGAGTACTGAACGTCAGTGTATGCCAGAGCGCATTTTTAAGTTAAGACTAATACGCAAAAATAACCATAAAATCAGTTTTTTTTTTAATCTAAATATTTGTATTTTTGCATTTAATTAATTTGTACAATGTAAACAGAAGAATCCTTATACTTAAAATAAAAATTCAGAATAAGTTCAATGGGTACAAGTGTGTATTTGAACGTTTTCAAGTCTTGCTTACCATTGCTGTTCTGTTTTAGATGAATAAGCTCGAGTGCATACTTAAATGTTTCCCAGTCTTGCTTCCCACTGCTAATTTGTTTCATATGAATGGGCTCGAGCAATGGGTACACGATTGTTTTCCAGTTTTACTTCCCGTTGCTTGTTTGTTTCTGAAGCTCATGATGTCTTTTTATTTTGTGCTTGAGGTGTAGATCGAGCATTTGATTTTTGTTTTGGTGGTATAATTGATTATACACCGAAGTAATGCTTTGTGATGATTATTACAAATTCTGTTTCTAAAAGCAAAGCAAATGCGTTTGATGCAATAACACGCATGCTAATGTGTGCATGTTAATGCATGAAAAATTAAATATTTTATGCTTTGCTGAACAATAACATACTGTAAAATATTTTAACTTGGGCAGTGGCAATACATTTCTTTTAAGTAGCCAAATTTCTTTATTAAATTCGAGGCAATATAATTGTGTTTTCTGAGTGGTGACACAATTTTTTTATATCGCTAACGTTTCTGATTAAATTTGAAACATATATATCTTACTCATTGCAGAGTAGCAATGCAAAGCTTTTAAATTGCCGAGTTTTTAATTAAAAGTTCTTTAAGTTAGTGTAAAATATATATAAATAAAAAGTGCAGATCCATGGGCTGGTTTTTGAGAAATCCTATGTAGACAGTGACCTTCCTCTTGTTTTGAAATTCGAGTGTGGGAAGTTTTATAAAGATTAGAATTAAACTGTAGATCTGTATAAAAGACAAACATTCATTTATATGTATATGAATATGCTAACATATGCTAAAATATATAATACAAATATAGTAATGTATGCAAAAAAAAAAATTGCTTTCGAAGGTGACATGTGGTAAAAGGTTTGAGAAACCCTAAGCTAAACAATTAAACATATGGCAGAAAATCTGTTTTTAGTTTATTAGTACTCTGGCATCATTTAAATATGAGTTAGCATAGAGGATAAGTAAAATTAAGTATTTGTATAACTGTCATGTGTAAATGCATGTGCATGATAATTGACAAAAGAAGCAATGGTTTCAGACATACCATGAATTTGATAAATTTTCTTCAGAATAAAACATGTAAAACACTTCCCATCTGCTGGTCGTGTACTAAGAAGGTTGTGAATTGAGAATGACCAGAGTTGATGGAATGATATGTGCAAATGACAAATAATAATTTGTGAAATTAACGACTGAATACACCATTGGAATATAGAATATTATCTGAGAATACTCTTCTCATTCTGCATTGCAATACTAGCTGATTACCCTTGCAAGTTGCATTTTTTAGACAAACGTAAGAATTCATGACTTTGATAGAGATTGCTGTTGATAGCAGAAAACTGTGCATACTTTAACAAATGTCAATTTACATTGTATCATTGCATTATATATACTAAAAATTTAAAAATTATATTTTAAAACTTCAAAAATCATGCTGTGAAATTTAACATGGTTCTCAAATTTTATTAAAGAACAGAGCTTGAGTTAAAATGTCCAAAACATTCTCTGAAAGTGATAGATAATTCACTTTAATTACTTCCTAATTAGTCAAACCTTTAATAAAATATCTGATATGAATATACTTTGATCTTACTGTTTTCATGATTTTGTATTAAATGAATTGCACCCTGGTTATCTAAATTTAAGTTACAATGCAACAGCTTATGTTTCATATCAGTCACAGGTTTAGTTAAAGAAACAATTTCAGCTGAAGCTTACAGAGGCAGCAATATATTCTCCTTCACAGGATGATATAGTAAGACATTTGTATTTTTTTTTTTTTTTTTTTTTTTGAAAGACACTGCACTGGATATCCATAGCAAAATATTTCATCCTCTGAAATACTTTTCTTATATCACTTTTATCACCAGCCCTTGTCTTAATCTGAAAATGCTTAAGTCTTTATTTTTCTTTTCTGCTCAGTAGTACCAAGTGGACTATGTTTATAGGTTATTTTCATTGTTTTGAACTGGTGTTTGAAAAGTGGTTCTGGCAAAGTGTTGTGTAAAAAGAATTTTTGGTTACTATGAAAATTACCTAGATATATCGCCAAAACTGGCGACCCTTGTAGGTTATACAGGTTAACCCTAACATAGGTTAGAGGGTGCTAAAATAAAGAGTATTACCACACCTTTTTTTGCTACATTTATGCGGATTATTACATTTAGGTTAAGCACGTGAAACTTTTTGTGATTATTATTTTCCCAATGGATATCAACATTTTCCAACTTCCTTCAAATGAAGAAGTGATAGAATTTTTTAGAGATTCTGGAATTTTACCTAAAGAATGCATTTGTAAAAACGGCCATGTTATAAAGTTTTATAATTCAGGATTTTATTGTAGATGCAATGTCAAAAATTGTCAACAAAAGTTTGGTGTTCGAACTGGTACGTGATTTGAAAACAGTTGTACTAAATTTTTAAAAGCTTCAAGATTATTTACTTTTGGGCATATGAACAGTTGTCCATTGAATGGTGCAAACATCAGTTGGATTTATCAGATAAGACTGTTATTGATTGGAGTAATTATGCGTGAAGTGTGTGTGAAAGAATTGGCGTTTAATCGAAATATCAAAATTGGAGGGCCCGAATTGGTTGTCGAAATTGGCAAAAGCCTTTTTACGCGTCGAAAGAATAACGAAGTTCATATCTTGCCACAGCAGTGGGTCTTTGGTGGAATTTGCCAGGAGACAAAAGAAACATTTCTGGTCAGAGTTCCAGACCGGAAGGCAACAACATTAATGCATGAAATCCAAAATAATATTGCCGACGGCTCAACAATAATGTCAGATTCGTGGCCTGGATATCAAACAGAGGAGCTCATTGCTGCTGGTTTGGAAAATTTTAAGGTGAATCATCAAAAAAATTTTGTTGGCCCATTTACGCAGACTTGTACTCAACATGTTGAAAGGATGGAGGGTTCTGCAAAATGGAGGAACAAGCGACTACGTGGGACAAGCCGCGATCATTTGGATACCTATTTAGCTGAATTTATTTGGCAGAAAAAAACGGGAAACGTCTTTCGATGCTATTTTGAAAGCTATTTCCTGCCACTTTCCTCACCATTAACTTCAACGTTTTCTTTTAACTAGTTTTAAGTAATTTTTTAATTCTATATATATATATATATATATTGGTTTTTATGTTTTTGTTCATTTATAATTAGGACTTATATTTTAAAAGAATTTATAAACATAAACCAAAAAATGGCAATGAACATTTTTATCTGCAAATGTTGCCAAGGTAGTCGTCATAGTACGTAAGTACCAAAAAGGTTTACTACATTGTAGGTTTTCAGTTTTTTTCCCCTGAAAGTATTTAATTTTTTCTACGTATTATGGATAAGTTCTCAATCTTAGGAAAGGTTCTTTTTGAAATTAGGGAAAATCTTCATTATTTTGCTTTGTATTTTTGCAATTTTCCCTTGCTTTGAGGAGGATGATAGTTTTTGGGTCAAGTATTAAGATTTAACCACTTGCGCTACGACTAAACTTCACGGTTGCGGTGCAGTGCGTTACGATATAACAAGCGAAAAAGTGTCTCATTTACGCCGCTCCGCATTTGCGAGTGCAATCCAGAGCTGTAACTCGAGAAATAAACGATCTCGTAGTTAGGCGAAAGCATCTCGACGTGCGTGGCACGTCTTTTTAACACAAGTGGTTAAAAAAATGTATTGGAATGGCTCAACAGAGCTAATTCTGAATGCAGAAAAGCAAGGATTTTCTTATGGAAGAGGAACTGTAAGTTATTTCGATGTATCCTCCTATGTATGTTATATTCTAGTTAATTGGATTCCTCCTCTTTAATATTAATTTTTGATTTTTTTGTGATGGTTTATTTTAAGTTTTCTTTTAACATTTAAAGAATTCTAATTCTACATATGTAGGATTTTTTGAAATTTGTTTGTTTATTTGAATTTCAATTTTCGGTTTTTGTGAAAAATTGATTCTTTCTTTATGTATTTACTGATCAATTTTCAGTGTCATAATGTGCGAAAATTCTTGGAATGTTATATATATTTCTTTATAAAAAATTTTGTGTTTCTGTATTATATATGCATATGTGTAATATATTATTGAAATCTTGAAACTTTTTTTTTTTTTTTTTTTTGTGCTTTCTATTGTAATAATATGGTCTTGGCATTTTCTTTCTCAGTAACGAGAAAATCATGAGAAAAAATAACAATTACATCTTCCCTAGTATATACACACAAAAATCCTTCTTTGGTGTTTTAAAATTTATTCTTTCATAAATTTATTAAATTTGTCATTCCAGCAGTGTGGTGACCTTATGGCAATACAATTTTTTTAAAACTTTAAGTTATTTCCATTGTTTAAGGTTTCCATCTGGAGGTTTGATGCATACATCATTCTTTAATATTCCATTTAACTATTCCTTTTAATATTCCATTTCCTTTGTAAGGATTAAAAATCATCATTCTTATTAAAAATAATTTTGCTACATGTGCATATACCTTACAATCTACCTTTTCATGATATCCTTTAACTACTATGTGAACTTTCTTAGTACTGTTACTTTTATTTCAAAAACCCATTTTATGTCGATAGCCTTAACAACACCTTCAGATAAGTATAC